AGTGTTTAAGGAGTTTTACGTGTCAAAACATTTTTTTTGGTTTAAAATTTTAAAATATATGCTTTATAAATCTATAATTAGTGGCATTTTTGTAAATAAACATATTTAAGTGGCATTCTTGTAAATGTGCACTAAAAATGGTATTTTTGTAATTGCCCTTAGATTTTATGCTAAAGAAAGTAAATTATTTATTATTTCAATGAAACTATGTAAGAAAACACGTGATTTTTTGTTGAAGAATCAAGAGATCATAAGAAGTCACTGTTATAATTTTTACCGTTGATTGTAACATTAGATTTATCCTCATTCGTATACAATCAAGTAAATGACAAGGATGAATTTGTTTTTGTCCTTACCACTAGTGCAATGTTGTTTTGACGTATACATTTTGATAAAAAAAAAATATTTTTTGAGTTTTTCAAAAGGAAAATATAAAGAGAAAATGGTTTTCTGTTATTGAAAAAATATAAAAAAGGAAATAGAGTGATGTCGTGGTCGTGGGGGAGAAAAGCTGCGGCTGCGGAGAAAATAAATCACACGTCTTTTCTTTCAACTTTTTCCATTTTCTACCCCTTAATTGTCTCAGTTTCACTTTCAACCCCTATATTCTTTCAAACCTCCATTTTATACCCCCTTAATATTTTGAAAGGACAATTAATTAGCAACATACTACTCATAATAGCATTTGTTGAAAAAGGGTGCCTAATATAGAATTTTCACTTGATCAATCTGAAAATAACAAATGACATGTTTACTAGTAGAGAGATATCCACTTATATAAGCCATAACATAAAACCGTTGGACATTGATTATAATTTTAAATAAGTTCAAATCACAAACTAATTCTAAAAAATGATTAATAAAACTTTAATTATCATGAATCATACACATAATCTGGTTAGCTAAATATATTGTAAAATATCCAAATGTCTTTTTTCATAAATTTGAATTGTTGATAAATCATTTTATCAAAATGTTCTTATACCAATATTTTACTTGTTGATAAATCATTTTATCCATTTGAAAATTGAATAACAAACCAAATATGGATAAGACCAAAAAAAATGAACAGGTTTTCATATTGTAAGACAATTGAGGGATCAGATATTAATTTTATTACTTTTCATCTTTAGTTTTCTCCATTGACTTTCATATCAATGAAAACCCCCTCTCAACATCGTTAATTACACGAGAGTTTAGGATAATTACACCTTTAATCCCCAAATTAATCACTCTTCACTCCCACAAGAGTTAATTAATCCTCTCCCTCCTCAATCCTTAATCATCGATTATTCCAGTTTTGCCCTTCGGTCTGTTTCCCACAGAGAAAAAACAGAGCACAAGAATGAACTCAAATCTTCTCCGATTTCACCAATTCTCAAGTCCAATGATCGGAAGCAGAGTACCAATGAAGAGACGGTGGTTGTTCATCGGAGAAGAAACCACAAGCTTCTTCACCGTTAAGAAAATCGTCGTGATCCTCTGTTTTCACAAACTGTAAGAAACTCCCTCCGCCGGTAACTTTCACCGGCGGCGTTAATCTTCCGTTATCTGAGCTCGTTTCGTCGTTTAGAACTGCGCTTGAATCACAACTATCGGAAGATCCAGCTTCGACGACGGAATTTGGTAGAAGCTCACAGAGATCAGTGAAGCTTCGCCGGTAATTAAAACCAGTGGAATGTTCTAGAAACAGAGGAGGAGACGATGGAAGTAATTTCTCCGGTAACGAAACTTCTTCTTCTTTCACGGCGGAGATATCACTCTCCGTCATAGCTTTATCTTCTTCTCTGTTTATCTTACCTTTGATTTTGCTAATCTACAATCACAAACAAAATTTTAAAGTTTCAATTTTTAAGAAAAAAAAAATTAATGATTTTTTTTTTATAAACCGTCAAAATTCCGGATTTTTAGATCATATAATACCGTTTTTAAGACGAACTAGTGACTTTGAATACACTTAAGAACGACTCCACCATACTTAAAAATTATGATTTTTTCATTATTAAACCTTGGTAGTTCCGGACTTTTCGACCATATTATACCGTTTTAAGATGTAAATTTGAACTAGTGACTAAAAATCGAATTTTTTTTACCTCTAGGAGAAGAGAATCATTATCGCGGCGGAGAGAATCGAAATTGTGGCGGAGAGAATCGTATTGGCTTTTAAGAACACCGTAATCTTTCTCAAGCTGTTTTGTCTTCCACCTAGCACGGCGGTTTTGAAACCAAACCGCTACTTGACGAGGTTGAAGTCCAAGCTCTTGTGCTAGTTTCGTTTTCCTCTCAGGTTCAAGTTTGTTCTCAAGCTCGAAATTCTTCTCAAGAGCTTTGACTTGATCAACTCTTAATCTTCTCTTCTTCTCCGATAAACCCATACCGGAATATTCCTCGATCATGTTGTTGTTGCTACTTTCTTCTTCGTAACCATCAAGCATAGATTGGAAATTACTTCCGTACCCTCTTGGACTCTGTTCATCTGTTTGTATAAACAGTAAAAAAAAAAACAAAAATCATTACAATTTGAAGAACAAAGATCACATGGGTTTGTCTGAAATTAGCTTAAAAATTAGAAAGAACAAAACTTTGGTAAGATCATACCACACATTGAATCTGAGCTGCTTAGTCTCTTCATGATAACAGAAAAAAGTTTTACAATTTTTCTTTTTTCTTTTGTGGGGTTTTAAAATAGTTTCATTAACACAATTGAGCTTGAACACATAAAAAGCAAAAGAAAAGATTTTAGAGAAACAAATCAGAAATGGGTTGAGAAAAGAGAAATAACTTCTAATTTGGGATAATTCAGAAGAAAATTGTATTTACAGAGGAAGAAAGAGATAAGTTTTCAATATGAACAAGTTGGTTTCATACTTTCTCTTTCTTTAAATAAACAAACCTTGGGTTATGATAAAGAGTTAGAATGTAACTATGGTTAAGTTTGGTATGAAAACGGGAGTAGAGTTATATATAGCTCGGCTCGGCTTGACTTGGCTCAAACGGACAAAACGGAATCTGTGATATGTCACCGTTTGGTTTAGAGTCTAAATAGTAACAGTGGAATCTTGCTGAATTTTGCTGAATTACAGAATTTGACTAAATTTTTAGTGATATTTTATAAAATCTCGCAGAATATCTTAAAATATAAATGGTAATACCTAACTGAATCTGACTGATTTTTTTTAATTAATATTTATATAAACCTATAAAAATTAGTTAAATAATTTTTAGTTAAATAAACTAACAAAATATTAAATTTTATATTTTTATTTAATAATTTATCAAACATAAAATAACAACATAATTTAACGAGAAAATTTTTAATTCAAAAAAATTAAAGATAAATTTATCTTACAAATTGAGTAAATTAATCTAAAGTTTTGTTTCAATAAAATTTACGCTAATTGTTGAATTTTCTGTTCAGAAAAAAATATTCTTATAGTTTTCTTTAAATTATACTAGTACAAAAAATTACGAAAATATTGAATCGAACCATACCAAAAAAAAAAACTTAAAATACATGAACAAGAAATTTGTTTTAAAAGTAATAAAACTATCTAAATTATCTAAAAATTCTAAAATTATAATAATTGTTTTAATTTTTTCAAACAAAAATATCTGTAAATTATCCAAAATTATTTGTAATTACATAAAATATCCAAATATGATAAAGTCTTTACGTATTGATAATAATTTTAAATATCCGAAATC